CCCCAAAACCCCAAAACCCCGCATGCTTCTTTTTAAATATATGAGGAAGATAAGAGATTTATGAAATTAATTAAACCGAGAAATGCCAATTCTAACAATGAGGATCGATAAAAAGCATTATTTCTACAATATAATACTACTCATCTTTTATGATGCTTGCTTTTATTGATTCCCGATTTGATCATTGCTTCTTCAGCATCATCCTCATCATCATTGTCATTAATAACATTTTTTCTATTACTTCTCCTTGAATTTGCTGATTAATTTTATTGCTTTATATCTTTATTTTTTCTGCCTCCTTATGACTCCTAAGAATAATTTGGATTATATTCATATTCATCTTCACCCTCACTGTATTAATATAATTCACTATCCACATCATCATCGTCTTCTTAATACTTTGGTTTTCTGCTATTGTTTTTATTCTATTTATTATCTTAATATCTCTTCTGTAGAAGTGTTGGCTGATTGCTTGATCTGTTACTAGAGTTTGTATTAGCTGTCTAGCGAGTGTTAAAGCTACTGTTACTACTTTAATTTCGATTACTACTATTACTTTAATTGCTTGTTTAATTTTGATTTTATCTTGTATTCCTGCTGTTTGATGCATTATTATTGCTTGTGTCTCTTGAATTTTATGGTGGCTAGCTTTTTTTAGATTGATGAGAGTCAAGTTTCTATTGCTTATAATCCATCTTTTGAACTCGTTTATTCATTTAACGTGGATTGTAATCATCATCACCCTATATTAATTAATCCTCATAGATGTCTTCGGGTGGTCTAACATAAGCCCCATCTTCATCAATAAATCCATCTTAACTTATTCCTGGATCGAGACCACCAAATTCTTCCTGTAATCTCATTGCTTCCTCTCTATCGAATTCTTCTTGTAATTTTCTGGCAAGCATTTCCTATTCTATTTCCTCATCAAAAATACTTTATGAATTTTTTAGGGGAGTCTGCTTTTATTTGTTGGCTGGTTGATTTGGTTTTTATTTAAATTAATTCATCATCTACTGCTTTTCCTTTGTTGCATGCTTTGATTTTACATAGCCTCTTTCAATAGTCTCTATAGGGATTTTTAGTTTAATGAAATTCTTACCTTTATCTTGTATTTTAGTCATTGACGATACAATTTTAGTTACTGCTTCATTCTATTTGCTTCCCTTAGATTATTTTTAATTTTCACCAATTGATTAATTTTCAAGTTTATTTAGTTTTCGAGACCCCCCATTCATCCTTTTCTCTTCTTCCTCTTGAAATTTTTTCAATTCCTTTGAGATCTTTTCATCCTCCATTTCTCTAATAAGCTTACAGGTATCAGAAATCTTATGAGAGCGTTAGTCCTTGTTTCTCACAAGCTACCCGCAATCTTCACACTTAGTGGTTTTACTACCGCAAAAAGATAAGTGATTGTCATATTAGTTTCCTCCTGGGAATTTCAATTCACAATACTGGCATTAGCGGGGTTTCATATCGCAGTATTATTAGTGGTCTTTCATTAGCATCTTTTCACATTCAAAGTCATTGCAATACTCACAGTTCATCTAGAAAAAGGTAATTACTTGAATTTAAAATATGATGATGATGCCATCAAATTTTATCATAATACTTACAACAGTATGATACTCTGCTTCATGTGCTGGTAGATCAGATTTGAGAACTATTTCTCTGCATTAAGGACATTTTATATTATTTCTAGCACAGCCGATTTCATGCATCCGAAACTTTGAGATTTCAATTGGTTTGTTACAGTTTGAGCATATTTTTGTGTCTGCTGATGGTGTTGAAGAGGGATTTGCTGTCGATTCCATTTTAAAAGAATTTTAAAAGTAAGTTTGTAATTTCAAGAAAACAAAAAATTAATAACTAAATATTTAGATTCATGGTTAAAGCATTTGCATTTTCAAATCATTGATATTCTCATTTGCCTTAGCATTAATTCACCCTGGGGGTTTTGGGGTTTTGGGGTTTTGGGGAGA